AAACAAACTCATTCACAATAATTATGAAGAGAAATAAAATACATAGGAATAAATTTAACCAAGGAAGTGAAAGAACTCTATAATGAAAATCTCTGAACAATGAGTAGATACAAAAAAAAGGAAATAACTCCCATTTTCACAGATAGTAAGAAAAACCTTAAACATGCTGCCCAAAGCAATTTAAAATTCAAGCCCTATGAAAATACCAATGATAGTCTTCATTGAACTAGTGGAAAAAAGTCTAAAATTCATACAAAACCACCAAAGACCACAAATAGTCAAAGCAATATTGAAAACAACAGCACACACACACACATACACACACGCGTGCACATGTGGGCGCATACACACATGCACACGTGTGCACACACACAAAATGTTGAAAGTGACATAATTCTAGATTTCAAGACATAACACAGATCCATAGTAACCTAAACAACATGGTCTTGTACACAGACAGACCAGTGGAATAAAATAGAGATCCCAGAAATAACCCTATACAACTAACTGATTTTTGAGAAAGGTACCAAAAACAGAAGTGGGAGAAAGGGCAGTCTCTTTAAGAAAAACTGGATATCCACATGTAGAAGACTGAAACTTGCCTCTATCTCTCAATTTCTATAAAAATCAACTCAGGATGGATCAAAGACCCAGGTGTAAAAACTAAAACCATAAATTACTGGAAGAAAACATCAGCAAACACTTCTAGACATTTATATAGGCATTTTATTATATGACTCCAAATATACAGGAACCAAAAGCAAAAAACAGACGGATGAGGTTATATCAAACCAAAAGCTTCTACATAGCAGAGGCAAATACCATGAACAGAATAGAAAAATACCCAACAGAGTGAGAGAAAATATTTGTAAGAAACTCAAAAATCTCAACAGCATAAAAACAAATAATCCAATTTCTAAAATGGGCATATAGTCTGAATACACATTTCTTAAAAGAAGCAATATAGATGAAAAACAAATACATAAAAAGAGGAGATCAAAATAATAATTGCAAGTCATTAGAAATAGATGGACTATCATTGAAAAGACAAAAATAAATGATTCTTCAAGGATGTGGAAATAAAGAACTCTAATGCATTGTTCATGGGAATGTTATTGAGTATAGTCATTATGGAGATTAGTATATCGGTTCCTTAAAGTAAATTAAAAAAAATGGATTTATCATATAATCCAACCATACCACTTCTGCTTATATATCCAAATGAAATTAAATTGGCGTACTGAAGAGATACCTGCACTCCCATGTTCGCAGCAATCTTATTCAAAATTGCCAAGATATGGAGTCAAACTAGTGTTCCCAGAAAGATGAATGGATAAAGAAAATGTGCTACATATATGTAATGGAATATTATTCAGAAATAAAAAACCCGAAGTACTGTCATTTATAGGAAAATAGATAGAACTACAGAACATCATGTTAAGTATAATAAGCCAGACTCAGAAAGATAAATATTGTACATTCTCTCTAAAGCTAAAATAAGCCAATTTGAACACTGTGATTACTGGAGGCTCAGCAGGGTGGAAGGGAGAAGGCGTAAAAGGAGGTTGGACAAGAGGTTCCAAACACAGGTAGAAGGAATAAGTTGTAGTGTTGTTGCACAGGACAG